TTAATGACAACAGGCGAATAAGGATTACTATTTTGATACTGAACTGAATGCGATGATGGTGCACTGAATGTAAAACCAAGACTTTATTTATTTTATTTTATTTTATTTTATTTTAGAGCAGTAGGGAATCCGTGAAGGCGGTTCCTCTTTGCTGACGTAGAAATGTCACCACCGGAAGAAGGTTACATGCACGGTATTCAAGATGGCGGCCCCCTTATGTCAGTGTTACCAGGTGAGAGTTTGGGACGCGGTTTATACTCCAGATTTGAAGAAAATAAGGACAAGAGAGGGGGATTCTATATTTGAATAGTTTCGTATATATAATAGATTTTGGACGACATGACTTGGTTTAACTCAGCAGTTTAATGTAGCATAAGCTAGCTGTGTTAGCTCTTATCGACGGAATCTCTTGTCATTTGGAGCTGTATTTAGTTTATTAAAATGTTCCTATATATGCATGCCATACGTAACACCCTGTTTTATTATTTCACATTTTCTTAAAAGGTGATATTCTCCATATTTTTCCAAGTTCATGACTTTACTTTGACTTGTCAGTCTACTAAAGTCTAATGTTTGTGTTCAGATATGTCTAAGAAGAGGTTTGGTTGCCTCCCCTTCGTGTTACCTGCTGCTACCGAACAGAACCCATGTTTACAGGATATGCGGGCTCCCATCAAGATCTTCACAGGTACCAGAACCTCGTGTGAAGTTTTCTGGAGTGAGCAACTGAACTTGATATGTGAAAACTGCATTTTGAGTATTACGACTTGCACTTTTGAATATCGTAAAGTTTTGTTTTTCAGAAATTGAAAGTCGTGTTATATTGATAGAGACAGAATAAAACAATTTGAAGCCTTTGTGTCTTGTAATTTTGATGGTTAGAACTTACAGATAAACATGAGATCATTAAAAATATTTTAAGCAGAAATGTCATACCTCTAAACAGTGTAGCCACAATGAAGATCCCAGCATAATGTTAGAATTGGTGTAATCAAAGCCCAAACCTAAATAAAAAAGCATAAAACACATTAAGTTCTAAATGTTAGACTTAGGTTGGGACTTGGATTATGCCACTATAAACATGCTGCCACCCACAGTTTTCAGGTTTTTATTTGTAACACAATTTGAAAATTATTTTCTTTTCACTACGTAGTACACACTACGTTTTGTTCATGAAGCTCATGAAAAACCCTAAAAAAACACTTCATTATTTGTGTTTGTAACTTGACAAAATGTGAAAAACTTTAAGGGGCATGAATGGTTTCTCTAAGGCATTATTTCTTTTTTTTTTTTAATTCCCTTACACGTACTTTAAATTTATTTTGTTGTGCCTCACCCTCCTCTTCTTCAGGTGCGGTATATGTCAGGAGACAAAGGCAGAGGGAGAAAAGGTTTCTTGGGGGAGTTTTTGGATAACCTCAAGCAGGAACTGAACAAAAACAAAGAAATGAAAGAAAACATCAAGAAGTTTCGGGAAGAGGCCAAAAAACTTGAAGAGTCAGATGCACTGAAACAAGCTCGGAGGAAATATGTTAGTATCTCTACCCAAACAAAATCGCTCTCACTTGTGTCATCTTGGCCTCGAGTGTCTTTTAACTGTTAGTCCTCTCCACTTTCTTCTCCAAGAAAACCATAGAATCAGAAACGGCGAAGACCTCGGAGGTTCTGAAGAAGAAGTTGGGAACCATTTCTGAGACCGTTAAAGAGGTAAATGTGAAATGAATCTAACCGTGTTGTGGTCTCTGTTTTAACTGACGTGAGTTGCTGTAGACTCTTGAAATGTGTTTGCTTATTTGTGTGGATGTTAAGGGGCTGGAAGAGGTCAGTCGTTCAGAAATTGGTAAGAAAATCAAGGAGGGAATGGAAGAAGCAGCAAAAACAGCAAAGACTTCTGCAGAAACGGTCTCCAAGAGCGGAGAGATGCTGGGGAAGACGGGTGCGTTCAGAGCAATATCTCAGGTATGCACTGAGCTGAGCCCAAACCTAAGTCATGTCGCTTTATGTTCATTTCTTTCTGTTTATTATTTTATAAATTAAATAAATCAAGCATGATTTGTGTTATACTGAGAGTGATACTTGAGTGAGGTGTTATTCCTGAATTTGTTTTAGAGCGTAGAGAGTGTGAAGAAGGAGATCGGTGACCTTGGCCAAACGGGACCTTACCGACCTCCAGCCCGACTCCGAAAGAGGACAGAGTTCTCGTCCAAAGGACCGGGGGAAGACGGAAAGGTCTTCGAAGCCAACGAGTACGTGAGTGGCCATTGAGTCCTCTGATACCAAGAGGGAGGAATAACCCTTAAAGTTAGGAATATGAAGTTCCACTCATTTAGGAGTTTTTATCAAGCTTGGCAGTTTTCAGAGTAAAGTCGGGTAACTCTACAGCTTAGATTACCATTTATCATTTATTTGATGTGGTGATTGCCTTTTCCACTCTGACTCAAAATGTGTCACAAAGGTATTCGAGCTGAATGCATGTGCTAAAGCTTTCATTTCTGTCTTCTTTAGGGAAGCAATGGGTGTGGTGTTGCACAAAGACTCAAAATGGTACCAGCAATGGAAAGACTTCAAGGACAACAATGTGGTCTTTAATAGTAAGGAATAATCGCCTTAAATATCTCGCTACGTCTCTGCTGTTGTAATTGTTTCCCCAACTGTTGTTCTTTCAGCTTAATTCTATTCTATTATGCCAAAAATAGTAATATTTTGACAAGGAAAAGAGCCAGTAATTTGCAAAACATCACCAGAATAGCTTGCAAAATAGTTACCCTGTTGCCATATTTATGCAACACGTCTTACTCAGAGTTCCACTGCAGATTTGACTGTAGATAAAATATGCTGTGTGGTGTCAGTACGACAAAGTGTCGCAAGTTTGTAATTTTGTATGTCATGCATTGAAGTTTTTCAGAAGCAAGTGTTTTGTCAGTCGTCATTTTGTCTCGCATTCGCACCGAAAATCGTTTATTTCTAACATTGAACATAACCCTAGAGTTCTGAATATAAACTTGAGATTACTAAAGTCTATAGTGCTGCAATGTTTTGCAGCTTCTCTCCTGTGCTCAACTCACAATCTAACCCTCTCTTTTTTTCCCCCATTGTTGTCTACAGGGTTCTTTGAGATGAAAATGAAGTACGACGAGAGTGACAACGTCATCATCAGAGCTTCCCGTGCCGTCACTGACAAGATGACAGACATCATAGGTACGAGTAGTCTGGAGATGCAGATATCGGACCTAAAGATCTAATCAGAATGTTTTTGTTATTGTTTCATTTAATAGTAGCAATTCCACTTTTTTTTTAACAGACAATTTTTTTGCCTTTTTGTTTAGGTGGTCTGTTTTCAAAGACAGAAATGTCAGAGGTTTTAACTGAGATCTTGAAGGTGGATCCATCTTTTGACAAGGATTCTTTCCTGAAGCAATGTGAACAAGATATCATCCCAAATATTCTCGAGGTATGTTGAATAAAAGCGCAGCTCTGTTGTGTCAGTCAGGAGGTTCATTTGGGGGTAGATCGTATTAAAGAGGTTTGGTACGATCTTTCATCATCTAGTCCTTCCATAGTCTTTTCATTTTCCATATTCGATGCCTGACGGCTAATAAATTCATGTTGAAATTTTTATTTATATGTCTCAAGTGAAAGAAAGATTGAATGCAACATCTGTAAAAAGAGCTTGGAAAAGTATGGTTTTTTGAAAACAAAGATCTTCAAACACGTCTAAACACTGTGTGTTTTGTTGTTATACAGGCGATGATCAGAGGGGAGCTGGAGGTACTGAAGGACTGGTGTTATGAAGCGGTGAGGGCATCAGCTTGGAGGTCTTCTGGGACAGTTTCCAAAGACTATTAGGAAATACTTAATCATTGGACCAACATCTACTGAGCATGTGCAACTCCTACAAAAATGTGTTTTAAGAATGTTGTTTGTCATCTATTTCTTTGTCCCTTGGTTTACAGACATACAGCCAGCTTGCTCATCCTATTCAGCAAGCCAAAGCTATGGGACTTCAGTTCCACTCTAAGATTCTGGACATAGACAATATAGACGTAAGTTCCTCAAGACCTGATTCTTCTAGATTGACATTCAGTCACAGATATTTGGTACTCTGAAACATAATGGTCGTTCATTTAAATATTCTGTAATAAACGCAGCAAGTGATAATTAAATTCAGTTTATTTCCGTTTTGCTAATTTACTTATACTGAACATATTAACAGATCCATGGGGGCTTTATGATGCCAATAAAACATCTGTATATTTAGTGTTAACTAGAAAATGTAACATTGAACACTGAATTTGGCCATTACTTCAAAAATTCATTCAGGGAGTTTAGATCAGATTTTTTTTTACTGTACATATAAGATTTGGCTTTGGACTTTGCTTCTAAATGACCTCCATTTGAGGAGAGTAACAGCAGCAGCAAATAATAGTTACAGGAATATATACATTTACATTCACACCCCAAATACCCAGCCCTCATACACATACATCGCCCCATTCCTCAGGACTTTAGTTGCACAAGGACTTATTTACCTCAATTCCCATTTGCACCTTGCGAATGCATATTGTTCTTTCTTTCTACTTATGTATTTTGTTAATTATTATTATGTTTTATAAATTTTTATATATGCTCTAAATACCTCTTTTAGTGGGAGGGATAAATAAAGTCTTTTGAATTGGAATAGAAACCTAGGATGACATCATGTATTTGCCAGGATTCCTGAAGATGAATAGAGTTTAGTTTTTCCAGACTTGAATGGAAAAATTGTCATTTTTACACTTTAATCTTTATTTCTTCCTTGCAGTCTCCATATTTAAATCTTGACCACTGCAGTTCATATTGATTTTTTTTTAAATTATTTTTTAAAACATGTTCATAAAACACTTATAACTCTTGAATCTATTTGCCGAAGTTGCACAAATCTGTTCACTCTACCTGTGAATGCATTTCTAGTCTGATAGTAAAAGAACAACCATGGCTTCTGGTCGTTGATACAGATTATTTTAAACCTTCTCTAATTTATGTTTTCTGCTTCTTCTTGTGTTTTAACCTGTCCTTCTCAAGCTGGTCATGGGAAAGATGATGGAGCAGGGTCCAGTGCTGATTATAACTTTCCAGGCTCAGTTGGTGATGGTGATTCAAAACACTAAAGGAGAGGTGGTGGAGGGAGACCCTGTAAGTGAAACAACCAAACAGAAACACTGACTGTATATCATTGTTATGGATTTTTTTCCCCCCTATAACTGTTAAGTGATGAAATGTTTCCCAATTATGGAAGACTTTCACAAAAAAAAAAGCTGATTTTTTTTTTTTTTTCTGATGTGGAAAAAAAATCAAAACACAATATTGGGTTTAAATGAAGCTGGAGACACGACATGCTTTTTCACCCCAACATCCGGTTGAGAACGTCGACATCAGTCTGCTCTAGATTCAAAAACCCAGAGTCTGCAAGTATGTGAAAGAAACGGTCTCCATTCAAACCCGTTCGAATAAACATGTTTAAATGCGAGATGACTTAAAAACAGTTATTGAAATAAATGAGACATTTTACACATTGAACCAAAAGGTAAAATAAAACATTTTTCTCATGGAATAAACCTTGTTACTGTACATTTCAGAATTTTGCAGATCTGGACAAATACGTCCTTGTTGTCTTTTCTTTTTAGTGTGTTCTTACTTTTTCTTATTTTGTGGCTGTTTTACTTTCATGTTTCTTTTTGCATATCCAATTTGACATGTTAGCAGGTTCCATTATTCAACATCTGACCTCTGAAGTTCATTGTGAAAATTCCTTTGCATAATTTGTAAAAATGCTCTTAAAATACTCAGCACTCTGGAATATTTGTGCGGAGTTTGGCAGCAGCAAGCTTCTGCCTGTGAATGGACATTCTTCCTTCCTTCCTTAGAAACCCTGAGAAGGCAAATCTCTAATTAGCAATGTGATCAACACTGAATTTCTTTCCATATAAAAGCTTTAAATCGACTGTTTTAATAAGTTTTGTTTTCTGGAAGCTTATAGGAGCAGATGTTTCATTGTAAAATCTGTTACTTTTTGTTTCAGGACAAAGTGCTCAGGATGATGTACGTGTGGGCTCTGTGTCGAGACCAGGAAGAGCTAAATCCATATGCTGCCTGGAGACTACTGGACATCTCCGCCTCGAGTACTGAGCAGATCCTCTAGGATTCCTTGATATGCACAAAACGCACCAACCCAGGAACAGAACACGCTGCACCCGAACAGGTCCAGGAGCAGAATGGAGAGATGAGACAGAGGGGAAGACCTATAGGAATCAGCCGATATGGCATGGGCATTTCAGCACAAAAACACTGTGGCGAAGTGTTACTAACCACTGTAGGTGCCTCTCTGTGTCATATTTTCTTTTTTTTTTGTACTGTAGTTTCTTTGGATTAAACCAGTTTTGTTTGTTGTTTTTTTTGAACACCTGAGTTGTTTGCGTATGTTCCCCTGGTTCACAGTAGAGGGCAGCAGACCACCAAAAACATTCACCTGAAGTAATTTTCTGTTGCATGAAGATGGCTCACGTTCCTTCCCGTTCCAAGGACTAGTAAACTTATTAATTAAGATTCATCTTCTCTATTATGACTGGTAAGACACCATGCAGGTTTTTTTTGCCCATCTGATCGAGATGAGGTTGGTTTCTTTAAGCCTGCCCCCTCATCTGTAATCAATCCATCACGCATTTTTTCTCTTCCTCTTTGTTGTCATATGTTGCCATAGCCAATCAGAGCTCCGATGTCCTTCTTATTACTGTCATTTGTATGAAAATTTTGCAATATAATTGTTAAGCTGTCAGCAAGTCTATATTTATTATGAAAAAAATAAAATCTGACTATTTTTTTTTCCAAAATAACACATTTTTGAAGCTTCTAAAATTCAAACAGATCTGTTTATTTTCTCTTTTGTTTAGCAAACAACTTTTAAAAGTCATCATCTACTGAGATTTTATTTATGGCTCTAATATTTTGTTGGAGGAAAATGTCCTTTCCTTTTTAAGTTAAATGGTGCTGCCTTTGTGCAGTGAGGTGTACGTCAAGCCCCTTAAGCTGCAGCAGCACTGCTTTGGTGTCTTTTTTTTTTTTTTTTTTTTTTTTTTTTTCCAGAGGGTGGGTTATTTGTAGGGTTAGAATTTATGCATCTTAGGTTTGACATGTCCTCAGCATACTGTCAGCTTAAGGTCTCATCGACAACAATAGATTGTGCCATGCTGCAGTTCCTTTCTAGCAGCATATTCCTCAACCTTCAGTGCTGCTAAAGGTTATAAGTTGTACATGTTTAGTTTAGAGTGGCAGGTGGATGCCGCACCTACCAGAGCCATATGGCGCTCTGAATAATTAGCAGGTCAATGTGAAAAACACCAAAAATGGAGCCCTGAGATTTGTTTGTTTGTGAATGTTTGGAAAAAAATTATAGCAATATGAAAAATTCCGTTTCAGCTTGAAGAAAAGTCATTATAAACATCAGGTAGTCCTCACAAATGTGCTTTTTTTTAAATGGCAGTCAAAGTTTATTCGCAAATAAAAATGCATGTGGCACTTTCAAAATTTTTAGTTGGAAAAAATGTTGAAAACCCTGAAACCTTCTTACTTTTTATGGTCTATGAAATCCCAATTTGTAGCTGTAATATAAACAAGTCCTGGGGGTATTAATGCATTTTCAAGACTGTACATCATTTTGTACATTTTTTTTTTTCTTCACAAGCGGGTGAACTCTCAGGCATGTATGACTTGGCTGTCCTTATCGCTTGACTAGAAGATAACTGGATTTCTTCAGGGTGCTTTAGCTCTCACTGGACTGAAGTTACTTTTGGAATAACGCGTAAAACAAAGAATGATGCCTCGTGTTATTTTCGGGCATTTGGGATTCACAAATTGCATAGTCTTCACCATTAAGAATCCCACTTCTTCAAAACTAAGATTTTATACTTATTTTGATTGTAGGTGAAAGATCAAATGAACTGAAACGAGTTTAACTGCGGTTTTCCTAATTAACATTTTTTGATAAATCTGTAAATGTTCTCATGCTGACACCTTGGCAGAACAAGTTAATGACATTTAATCATTAACTTGGACGTGTGTTTTTTTCCTGGAAAGATGAATTGATTATACACCTTGAGGATGAAGGTGATGGGTAGTTCAAAAGCAAATGGCTGCAGTTCTGCTGTGTACCTGCATTTGTTCATGTAGACCAGCACCTCCATGTTTCCAGCGCTGTCCTGGATGATGAATACTGACTCCTGCAGGGCTGTGCTGAGGCTGCAGCTTCCAGCTGAAGCACTCATCGCTCATCGTCCAATCTTGATGCACGCTCACGTTCCTTCTGCTATTTAAACGGGCATTTAGCAAGGCCTGCTCTGCACAGTTCAGGCCTTTAAACTGGTGGGTAACATACTGACCAAGACGAGACAAAGTTTGATTCTTCTTGCACATTTTTCTTTTCCTTTTATCACATTGGAAACCCAGTTTTATGCTATAGTTTCGTGCATCATAGAGTAGTGCATAATTCTTGGTTGGAATGATGTGTTCAGGGTTGTGTACATTACATATATTTACATATAATATTTTGAAATTCCATTCAGTTTTGATTTCATTTGACGACAACACCTTCTCCCTCATCCCTGCTGTAACCTCCAGGAGCATGTACGCACTGCTAAATGCGCTAGTGACAGAGAAACAACTTACATTTATAAGAAATGCATTTATAAATTACACATAGCTGGACAGTATTTAGTAATTAAATTACCTCTTAGGTCATTTAGTCAGCATTAGATGACTAGTAAAAGATTGGTGAAATGGAAAAAAAAAAATCAACTGATAATTTTCTTGCTGCTTCATGATGATGATGATCTACTGCTTTGTTTTGATGTGTCACAATCAACATGTTCAAGAGTTGTGGATATTTTGCAAGGCTTTGGTTGCATGAGGATTCAGGAGTGTGTTGCATAATTGTAACGTGAAGTCAATGGAAATGTTTGTACACAGTCTTGGACAAAGAGCTCTCTGCCGTGTCTTCCTCTGAAGTAAACAGAAACTTGAGGAAGTGGTGCTGGGTCAAAGGAGTCAAACAACTAGGACAGAAGTGTCACAAACACTCACTGCCTTGATATGTGAGTGCTGACATTCCACTGTGGCTTCTTAGCTTAGGAGCCCCAATGAAACTTACTAACTGAGTGACACATCAAAATGCTATTTAGAAATGCAAATTATTCTCTACTTCTTTGAGAAATTAGAAATCAGATCTTCAAAAAAAACAACAAAAAAAAAACAACTAGTACACTGGTACATTTCCTCACTTTGGTGGTATTTTCTCCAGCATTCTCGTTTAAGCTGTATGTGCTGCAAGGATCAAATTCTCCAAGATGTTGAGTGTTTTTCACCTGCCTGCCATCCCCTTTTCCAGCGTCCGCTCCACTTCCCTCCTTCTCCGTCATCTATCTGATGCCCCATTAACTATGCTGTCCTTGAGCTCCCCTGACACCAGTTCTCCTTTAGGGCGATTTAACCAGCATTGTTCTTTTCCTCTAATCCCTCCTCCATCCAATTATCTGTTTTAATAGATTGTCTGCTGAGATCAAACTATGCAGGTTACATGTACTACATCGTTTTATTCTCTCTGATCATTTACGCATCCCACAGCAACATAACAGCTACAGCTGTAAGCAGTTAATTCTTCTGTGTCAGGAAAAAGAAAAAAAAAAAAAGACGTTTGATAATTTTTCGTGGACTTAATTCAACGTGACGTTGTTCTGGCTTGATAGTAGAAGTCAGAGCAGCAACAGCTCTCCGATGTGTTTTATTTTAAAAAGAGCCCAGATGAGGGTTTATGTACGAGGTGGTGAGTCTGACCCAGATTCACTGTTGCACTGGGACACAGTGCCGACACGACAGTTCAGAGGTACAGAAGGAACTGCAAACATGCACATATGTGCAGGCAGTCAAGCTTCAGTAAAGAGGAAAGGTCAGGAGGATGTCCAGATGAGGCTCCTGCAACATTATTCGATCAAAGAACTCTTTGGATCCATATTCCTTTTGCAGGATTCAAAATAAGAATAAAGAGTTTATTTAAAATAATTTGTTAGCTACTGCTGTTTTATTAGTTGGGATATGAAGAACAATGAGCTCAGATAGAGGAACCATTAAGTCCCACTAATTTGGATTCCAGAAAGGGAACCTGATTTGTAAAATGGCGATCAATATTTGGAAGTGCACAGTGTGTACTTTGTTTTTGTTCCTTGCTGTTACTTTACTTTTTCTTTTTTTTTTCTAGAACCCAATTCATACCAAAATACATCAAGATTCCTTCTAAACTCAAATTAAATCTGAACTTCCGCTTATTTACTGTAAGCTGTGGGAAAGATTGTGCACTTCATTGCTAAGGAACACTCTGACTTTACCGTCCACACCTAATTATTGTGATTAGTTGTGGACGGTACGTCTCCAGATGTTTCAGCTAATTTGTCCCTCCTCAGCTTCGTCTGCAGGAAATATTATTACAGTATCTCAGGCAGCATCAGTTTAGGACAGTTCAGTGGAAGATCTTCAAAGCTTTTGTTTGGGTATATTGCCTCAAACTAAAATTACAATTCACCTTTGAAAGGTTATCTTTTCATCTTTTCATAAAGCTGGTCTTGTTATTGCAATCCTAGCAGTGTTTGTGATCTAATATCAGGTCACAGACCCGTCGTGAAAGTTAGCAGTCAATATGTTCTTATCATATTTTCATATATTCCTCTGGACCCCTGAGATGAAACAATGGTATCAAATTTTGGACTTGTGTTGTGAAAACACGTCAGCTTTATTGCGCACGTGCTCAGTGTGAACGAGTGAGACAAGGCAGAAGAGAAGTTGGACTGACAGGTAAACAGGCGATTTTTGTTTGGCATTGGTAATGAATGTGAAAGTTGGATGATGAAAGGTATTTAGGACCGGGTGAGCTCTGATGTCCAGCACAGAATCGGCTCCAAACGGTGCCACGTCACGCATATCGTCGGACCTGCCGGGTGCAGCGGACGTGCCAGACGTCCCACAGCCAACATTACAGCGTAAATGTGGGCAGATGACTCTCACCGAGTCGACGCAGCAGGGACAGCTTTGTGTTCCTGCATGCAGTATCACTAATAAATGCTTCCAGGCAGGATCACACTCTCTGCTGGGCTGCCGAGGTCATCAAGCTGAAAGATTTTATTACACATGCTTTTCATTTCATGTGATGTGCGGTGCAATTCTTGCTTCATGTTGTCTTCCCCTTACTTTGTGAGTTTTAGTTTATTGTTCTGCTGCTTGCAGCCTCAGCGAAGTAAGAAAGTTTATTGTGCAAAACTATTTCCTTTACAAAGATGGTATTGACAGTATACATTTTTATATTGCAGATGGAATTGCTTTCTATTTTGCCACTGTCACTTCAAAATTGATCTAAGTGAAACTGTCTGACGGGAAGCTCATTTTACTGTTCTGTTGCTGGTTTTTAACCCACAGTTAAGCCCAAAATTATTCAGTCTCCAGTTTTTGATTTAAAATGATTTTCATTCAGTTAATAAGTTTGTTTTTTGACAGTAAATGGGACAGTAGTTTATCTGTTTTTACATTTTATTTTTAATGTATTGGCATTAGATGAACCAGACTCTTCTCATAATGGCTGACCAAGTCTCTGAGTAAAACATCTTCACCTCTGCAACCTGTAATCATTTCTAATTCAAAGCGTTATTCTGAGAAGTTGTTTTCCTTTTGTGTCTTTTAGTTGTCTTAGTGTGTGGTTTTATTTACTACAGGAAGCAAAGAAATCCTTTTCATTTCTGTATGTGTTGTGAGTAAAACAGATTCATTTATCTGTCTGTCTGTCCGTCCTTCTCCCTGGGACTCTCTCCATTTCATTCAGGGGTATCCCAAGTCATTCCCAGGCTAAAAGAGATAAATAGTTCATCCACTTTATTCTGGATCCACATTTCCTGAATCCCTGAGTAGGGACGTAATAAAGAGGCGCCGTGATAAGAAGCCTGAAATGATTCAACTGAGTCCTTTTGATACAAAGCAGTCAGGATCTCATTAGTTCAGTCATGTATAACATCTCATGAACATAAGAGAGTCGAAATGTCGAGAATCAGAAAAATTAGATTTTTTTATTCCCTTTTCTTTGACTACGTGCTTTTTCAGAACGGTAGACTGGAGCCGTGCCTGAACCAGTGAATTTCATCCTGCACCCTTCACACCAACAGGACTGCATTGTAAGTAAAATGCAAGTATGAGCCTTTTTCTGAGAAATTGGACCAAGCTGTGTCCATATGACAGGTTAAAATCCTTCTGTCTACATCTGTCTGTTGAGTTTGCCTACTGAGACAAACATCATAGACAAACTATTGATTTTGTTGGGATTTGAGAGTTCTGTGACACCAATGTAAGAATGAAATTCAAAACCATCTTTCTCAAGTAACATCTTTTTAATCTATATCTTTAGGATTGTTTTTTTTTTATCCCTGAGAGTACAAAGAGTTACTTTGTTGGATTATTTGCAGGTTTTAGTTCTGCATACGCATGTCACAATTTGTAAAAGGGTTTTTGTCCATTTTGCTCCTTTTACATGCAACAAGCAGCAGATAAACTAGAAAATGTCATAACTAGTTTCATTGATTGACTTTAATGCCAAATTACTAGTAATAGAAGTATTTTTTTTTATCTGATTCAAGTTCAAGCACTTGTATTTAGTAATCCACTTGTAAAATTTTAAAATAGACCTTTAATTTCACTGTCATTTTTCTTAGTGTTTTATTTATGACCCTTTGTTATCCTGATTTTCCAAAACAGTATCTGACTAAAAAGAGGCAGACAAAAAGATAAATAGAAACATTTAATATTATTCTTTAATTCTTATTCTTCTTTGTTTTTCAGTTTTCCATTTTGAAAAATCTCCATCCATTATCTAATTTCACTTTCAATTCTATTATCACCTCCCCACAATCCACCCCTTTCCTCCTCTCAGCTTCTTTCTAAATCGAATCCTCTTGTCCACCCAGGACATCATCAGCAAGTCCACTCTAATTGCAAGGAGCAGATTCTTTAGAGATTCTGCTGAGAGGAGGAAAAACAATGGCTGCAAATGCTATTTCTATTGATCAGCCAGCGTCTCTGTCCTCCGTATTTCCCTCCAGTTGGCCGTGTTGAGTGCTTCTGTTCAGAAATGTGAGGTTTCTTAAGATTTAGAGGCTTAGGTGCTCATATCAACCTCTGAATGAAAAAAAAAAGCATAAATTTTATAGCAGGGGAGGAAAATGTGACCTTAAAGGCAGGCGGCTCCTCTGAAAAGGTACGTCGAAGTTCAAAGGTTGTCTGGAAAAGCATCAAGCGGGGCCATTAGTGTCATACTTACACAGTGCAGACAACCCAAACGTCTGTCTGAAGAAATTTATCACTTCAAAGAATCAGAGTGAGTAGCCTGTGTGTTGGACCTTTGAGGGCAAAGCCAGAGTATGTCATAACTAAAGAGCGTGTTGGCAGGGGATACATCAACACGTAATGGGAAGCCTAGAAGAGCTCAGCGAAACAAAGTAACTCATTTTTAGTGCAGAGTACACTGTGAGTCATGTCTTTTACTTTATACCCTTAATGTTGGCCAGTGGGTAGTGTCAGATTGCATCACTTCAAGCTGCAGATGACTGAATCAGATCAGGGTCATAGGTTAAAGGACAGCAGGGCAGAGCTACAGGCGCTGCCTTGTTTGACATCCAAAGTCAGTCTGAGTCTGTATAAAGGGCTATAACTTTTACTTTATTCCCTGCATGGGGTTCTGAATAAATAATCACAAACAGGCAGACTCTGCACTATTTAGGTGACGTTTCAATTTGTCAAGAGTATATATTTATGGGTGTCAGAATAAAGGGATCTGAATACTGTACACATGTTTGCCACATTTTTTAAAATTTCATTTGGAAAACATTTTGAATACCACTTATTAATTTTTCTATTTCTTCCCAACATGCATTGCTTTTTGTGGCTCTTTCACATAAAATCCTAATAAAATAGATCAAAGTATTTGATGATCACTTCGATTATTTCAATTCTTTGATCATGCAAGGTGTTGCTTTCTTTACTTAGTGATACTTTGTGCGCTCTTATGCATTCCTGCAGTTATCATTTCCATCTATAGGACTTGTTTCTATTCCTCGTGGACTTATGCTTAGTTTTTTGGTGTTCAGATTAAAGGTTTTGACATCATCACCAATCTACCAGGTTAAATGTTGATGTTCAGTCGTCTTTCATTGCTACAATAGAAATTTGAAGGTCTGCATATCACTTATTCGCTTCAAGGTTCATAAAAAGAGAAAGATATCAAAAGTTTGGATAATTTTAAGTCTGTTCAGCATATCTGACTTGCAGAAACAGCAATCACCAAACAGCAAAAGTCTGCTCATTAAGGATTATTGCTCACTTATGTGTGGATTTAGGAAATGGATGACCTGCGATAAGACAAGGTTCAGCACTGCTAATTAGTCCACGCCCGCTCTTTTTTAGAATGGGATTTTGAAATTAACTTTAATTACACAGTCCATTGATTAAACTTTTACGATCATCTCACTCAACTTCACAACATAAGTCACACTAATATACTTTTATGTTCCCGAGTCTGAAGCATTCTCCCCCGGCCTTCCGTGGCAAGTAACACCAGTGTCAGGCCGACATATTTAATCCGCCACACTATTCTCATGAGAATCTGCCACGGGCTAATCATGCATCAAAGAATAATTGCAGTCATTTAAAAGTAATGCGTGAATGGTGTTTGATTATCATTGTCCCAGAAGTCCGTTATTTCCCAGCGATCCACATCCTTCAGACCGGAGGCAAGGACTAAAGTCTGCTTATTGCTTATGAACGGATAAGAACCGTTTCTTTATGAGTTTCCTTTACGAGGAAACCCGTGTTTTCTTATTCAGCAGCTGAAGGTTATGTCAGAATGGCCTATAAGTCAAAATGCTCAATAGACCAAGAAACTCACCAAAGCAATGATCTCAAAGTCACCAAATGATATTTATTCAGAGCTACAGCTGCTCCCATAATGTGTTCACACTACTTTAAAATGCCAAGTTTTTTTCTGATATGAAGAGGTGGGACTTTTTCAGTGTTGTTCGTTGAGGTCCACTGTACTCTTCCGGGCATCTTGTTTAATTTTCTGATATTACACATGTTTTATATTCATTTTTCTCATGTGTTGCCTTAAAATACACACACAAGTGTGGCTCCAGTTAACTTAATGCCACAATCAGCCAAGACCTTCCCAAGGAATTATGTTTGTATAAATGATGAATAAAAAAAAAAAGTAAAGATTCTAAATATCTTTACACAGAAAATATGTAAAATAATTACAGGTCAGATGGTGTGTGAAACTGTGTCTTTATATACTTTGTATGAAGATATATGGCTTCCAATGTGAGTATTATTTTATTGGTGATGAAAAAGATTTATGTCCTATAAATAAATCTAGAGAAGAAACCTACAACCTCCTCATTTAAATCACCTGTTTAGACATTTTCCCCCATTATTCAATCTCCCCACTGGACATATTTCCATTCTGTCTGTTTCCATCGTAGCACCCATCTATCTCCACAAAAGGCCAGTCAGGTGTCCTGAACGATGCAGGGGCAGCCTGTGGCTCCCTAAATGGCGCGCCACAGAGTTGGTGTTCACTTTGGAGTGACGGATCGTCCCGCCCAGCCTGGCGGAATAAATGGAGGCATTAGCAGCTCTACCACTGGCCCACGCTGCTGCCGAGGCTTACTGGTCTGTGAGCTGTGCAGCACGGCAGCTTCCTGGGCGCAGCCAAAGCGTGATGAACGGCTTATATTCCTCCATAAACCATATTAAAGTCGGATCACATGATGAATACCAGGTGGAGGACTGGAGGGAAGGAAAAGATGGAGGCAGGAGGACGGAAGTTCAGAAAGTAGGAGAGTGAGCTTATGATAAAATATGGAAAAGAGAGGAAATTAAATCCAAGACAAAAATATCAAAGCTGCTCCCCTTCTTGCTCCTCTGCATCCCCCATTTTCTGGTGACTGATGAAAAAAGAGGAGGCACTTCTGAATTTTTAATGAATCCCCTTTGGGCCTCAATTTATCGTCTGGTCTTTGTGTGGCCTGCAGTCTGGGCAAAGAGGTTCCTGTGCATTTGCTTCACTTCACCCAGCTCAGGTGTTCTCCCAAAGGCAGCCTTCACTTTTTGCCATGATCTGTCCATCCCTGAGTGACAATCTGTCATAACACATGCTGTGTTTGCTCTGAAAAGTCTACTGGAAACTCTAAGAGGGTTCAAGCTACTAGCAGAACACAAAAATGTACTCCACTTGTGTTTAAGTGTCTAAAGTTATTTGTTTGGAGAATCAGGAAGAACAAATCCAACTGAGTCCAAAAAAAGTAACTGCATCTTGTTTCATTTCTTATGTTCTGACTTTTCACTGGGTGTGAAAACTATTTAAATCTAACCACAACAGTATTAACCTACACACCAATAATAATAATAATAATAATAATAATAATAATAATAATAATAATAATAATAGATACAGTAGTAATAATAGTAATTATAATTGTCAGTATTTACTAAGCATTGAGGAAACGTAAATAGAACAATTTTAGAAATCCTAAAAACTCAAGTATATACAGAATACATAAGACCCTCAAAGTAAAATGGTGTGTATGCTGATTTATTTTTCCCTGGTGACTTTATGAAAAAACTTGTGTTTTTCTCATACACCTTTTTTTAAACTCCACAGTTCTCAGCTGAAGATGCATTTTCAGTACCAGCACAAATTTGCTGCACAGGAAAAATATTCTTTACAAGACATTATATAATTATATATTTATAAGAAATTACATATATATATATATATATATATTATATGTGCCTGTCACATTGCTGCTGTTACTGTTTATTGCTCCTCATTGTGTAACAATAAAGTAGATTTCTATTCTATTCTATTCTATTCTATTCGTTGCTTTGCACTCACATAGGCTTATTATAGCATTTCTTTAGAAAAAAAAGGAAACCCTAAACCAAGGTTATTTATTGAAGGTTGACTTCCCGGTGGTTAGTTTCATTATTTCTTTTCTACAGAGTAGAATAAGTCACTTCCGTCCTCTTACTTTCGTAATGATTAATATTGCCCACACAGAGAGTCATCAGGATGAAATGTAACTCGTGTGGCTGCGAGGCTGTGTGGCCTTGGAGATAGGAAATTAAATCAGAGGTAACATTCTCCACCAAGCACATTCAGGTGTGAAGATTATTAAACAACCAATCTCTATATCTGCTAGATAAGCTAAGCAATCTCAGTTTGCTGCAGGGGGCAGGCCTCCAGTCCTCCGCTAAAATATTTTCCAAGGCCATATTTAACTTGTGCAGAAAATATATATGCATCACACTTGCACATGATCCATGTTCTATTTTCATGTTTTCATTAATTATGCTTTCACTTTATTGCTCTTGTTTGCATTTTTGGGTAATTTTTGTGAACTGGGGTGATTTCGACTAAGCAGAACAATTTCTCAGCTGTATGGTCTTAATGTGCATCTCCAAGCATGACTGATTAATATTTGGGTTTAAAAAATGTCTAAACAGTGGATCATTTTTGACATATGTTTTCATTCCTACAAAAATCCATATTCCAATATAGACAGGAGTAGAAACTTGTACTTTTTATTATCATTGACAACCAAGGATGCTTATTTGTGCAAAACATAATATAAGCACATAAGAAAAAAAAATTAAATAGAGGTTATAAAAGTGCAGCATTTGATTTTGTGTTTTCAAATAAAGTTCAAACTAGATTTAATTTTTATTTGTACTTTATATTTTAATAAACACTTATAAAAAACAATGAATCTAAGTTCCTTTGGACAACCAACTTCATTCAGCCTATAAATATTAAGACAGGGCAGCTGAGGTTCACATCCTCTGTTAGAACATTGGCTGTTCAATTCTCATATTCCAGTGAATTTCCTTATTCTGTGTGAGAACAGCTTGTTTAAGTTTAGGAGGAATACTGGCCTGAAAGCTCAGACATAAGCTTTTCAAGAGACCTTTAGCAAAAGCACACTTTCTCACTCTCTGTGCCAATTGTTTATTGCTTTATACATAATTAAAACTCTTATGAATACAGAATCTAATCTTCCAAATGTTTTTTTTTTTCTTTTTTACCAAGGTCGGTATTTGAGAGAATGGGCCATTAAAAGTCAATTTTCCAAATGTGCTTTCAGGGATGACTTGAAAGCAACGGGAAGCGTTCAGGGGAACTTGATCTGATTATTGTATGTTTACAGCTAATTTATTAGTAACACTGCACACAGTCTTGTTTTGAATTTTCAGCATCGACACATTTAAAAAAAAAAAAGTCTACAAAATAGCCCAAAACAAAGAAAATGCTGTGGCTTTGCAACAGGAAGGTCTTGGAATCAAATCCTGGCTTGGGACTTTTTGTATGGAGTTTGTTCTCCATCTGCAGATTTGGGCTCTCTCCAGGTACTCTGGATTTGGGGGGAAAAAATTGTTTTCCAGTAAAAACAGTATTTATAATATGTATTAAAAGGCTAAGTTGTAATTAATTTGATCCTGCAGAATACTCTTTATGCATTTTCATGACTTTGTTAATGAACTGAAGTTGAGAATTTATGTCAAGAGGATGAACGAATGTACAATGAAACTATTTAAATCTGGGCTGCTTGGTTATTACAGCACAGGCTGGTTACTAGTCCAAAGGTGTTTTCTTAACCAACTATGGTCAACCTGATACATCCATGTAAAGATGAGCCAACTTAAAGGTATAACAGTAAATTCTGAAGGATAGCTACTTACAAACGAACAATAATTTAGCAGGTCCTTTTTCTACACGCAAAACTGATTTTCAAAATAATAATGATAAAGGAATGTTTTAACACATTGCAATTTTTCTATGGGACCAATTAGAATAATGGTTGATTTTCAGCTTTAAATAAAAAGCGATTAACTTGTGTTGCACATGTTTCTTTTATTACTGTATTTCTACCCAATAATGTCACACTGTGAGAATGTCACACCGGATCATTCCCACTAGTTAATGTGTGAAGCACCGTGGACACACACAAAGCGAAAGAGAGAAAAGAGAGGGAGAAACCTTGACTCTACCTTGTCAGACGCTTTAGAGTAATTAAACAGGAACAGATTATCAAATGGTCCATGAAGAGTGGATCAGCGAGGAGGAGCTCATGGCGGTGCTGTTTATGCATGTGTGTTTGTGTGCGTCCGGCTCCACATTGCTGGCGCTGGGACAACCCAGGGTGAAGTTGTGAAGCTGTATGATGAATGTCGCTCCATAACAAGAGCTGAAGGGGAATGATTAAACCATGTCCACCAATCACCTCCTGTGGAGCCTGAAGGAAACAACCAGGGAAACACAAGCTTGGCTCTCAGCAGCCCTGACAGCAGAGGACACACAGATGCACACACGCTGGTTATTTTCACATACATGCTTTGTAAGAGATTTTTTTCCCCTTTATATTTACAAACCAAATGAAAACAGTGTACAAAGATGCTACATTTGATGAAGGATGCAAAACTTTTTGAAATTCTTCCATGTTGATCGGCAGATGCCCACTCCCTTCCATGTTTGTAATTCATGTCCATGATTTAGTGTAAAATGTGCTGAAAAACAAGTTTTGTTTTAGCCATTAAAGCATTTTTTTTTATGGATTTAGTTTATATTCAAGAAATTATGTTCAAGCAAAAAGTGGGTAAACCCCTATTTTAGCTGAATTTAAAAGCAAAGCAGCATTTTTCCATTAGTAGCATTTACAATATATAGCCAAAATCCATATTGTAAAACCAGACATGCACACACAGCGCAGCGCAGCACAGCGCACAGGGTCTCAGGGCACTCTGGAGGTCAAACAGCTACAAAGCAGCTTTGATTCCCTGCAGTTTTAATGACTTTGAGAGACCGTGTTCACTTTTCTTTTTCTTCCGGTAAATTATTGTGATGATCCTTGTGCTTCTGTGCAGCGCAGGAGGGATTTCTGCCATGAGGGACATTAGGCCTTGAGGAGCAGGAGGACATTTTTAACTATGGTATTAAATTGTCCAACATCCAGTGCAAAACGCAGTGAGACAGGATTTGTCCCCTTATAGATTTCTGCTGTTTTTGTCACACCTGTATATTTCAGATTTTCGTATTATTGAAGGATGATCTGAGGAAATTCAAAATGCAGTTTTCAAACTGATTAACCAAACCAGCTTTTTGCTAAAAAGTATTTGCCCCTTATTATTGGCAGTGCCATGCAAAAATACAACTATAATCAAGTGTTCTGAAAAATTACTCATCAATCGTACATTAATGTGAACGCCCATTTTTCTTTGCAGTAATGTTTTATTCCAGCCACACTGGGTGATTCTTTTACACATTAACTGGCTGTGTAAGATCACACTGCAGCATCCTAAACAAATTTATGTCCATACTTTATGCTACTCCATAACCTTTTTTTTTTTATTCAGAGCTAGGCTTGCTGGTGTGTTTTTGATCATTGTCCAGTTAAAAAAAAAAAAGCACAGTGAAAAAAAGTTGTTCAGCTTTTTCTCCATGTAAAAAGTTGTCTGGGGATATCAGAGCACTCTATTCATAGACTCGATAATTAAGTTTCAGAACAGAAAAATCCCAAAGTTTGTCACTGAATCATTTATTTAATAATTCTGTACTTTAAAATATTACAGACACTGTATAACTAAGAGAATGAGAAATTCTTCTTGAGGTTAAGAATTAAATCTTTTAACTGTCTGCAATAATTTCCCTTTGTGTTTAGAGAAGTAAAATGTAACTTCAGAATGTGGTGATTTTACTACGCATGGAGTGGGACGTAATCTAAAAATACAAGTATTTCCATTTTGGTAAAATGAGATTCAAAATGAAAAGTTTATTTTAAAAAATTTAAAATTTACAGAAAATGTGTAAGCCTTTTTTTATTTTGGGTTAATGATGGTATATTTTGTACATATAAACATGAAATTAGTTTTATTTCGATGTTTATTCATTCTTTTACTCAAATTGTTAATCATTTTATTCCTCATAATGCTCACCCATTCAACTCAAATCAATGTAGTGAATAATATAAACAGAAGCGGTAAGTAAAAGTGTATCTTTTGTACACAAGAAGATCTTCAAGAAATGTTTCCGGCATCCAGTTGGATTTGTATTTGTCCTAAAGGTTAATGAGGTGCATGCTAGCTCAGAGGAAAGGAGACAACAGTGCTCTTTACGAAAGACGAGCCGTCGCTCGCCCGAGGGGCCCCTACGACACTCCTCAGATCTAATTATCAGGATTATTGATTGGTCATGGCCACCTACTCCTCCACCCACATACACACAGAGATGCTTGGTCACGTGTGCAGATTGAAGTACAAAAAACACATTACAATTTGCATACAGGGGAAAGCTAAGGGACGACACAGAGTAATATCTGCCCAGTCTTCCGGCAGTCTGTATTCATCCTGCCAGTCCAAACCTCCTACTCACTATTGGCACATTTGGACAAACTCACCTGGGAAAATGGCTCTCTCAACATCCGTAATGCACTTGCTCTCGCCCACACAGCCCACTCCACCGGGTATGAAAAGGCGGACTCTTTCACAAACTCGCTGACATTTTTTTGAGCCCCTGACGTAAAGCTGCCATTTTGTTCCAAGAGAAATGTATTTTTATTTCAAAACAGAGATAATAGTCCGGCTGAGTTGTTGATGGTTTGAACACTCCTCCAGTTTGGCCCACACATTTTCACCGTCATGAGCTGAACCAGCTGCAAGTGGCTGACATTTTTCACT